CACGGACCGAGTGCAGCAGGGACTGGAGCCGTTGTTGAAACGGATCCAAACACAATTCTTCTTAGAACAGAAAGTCATGGGTTAAAGAAATCTGAATTTTCTAAACCAGTACTTTTAATTGCTGACCATGGAAACACACAGCCATCTCTGCCGGGCAGTCAGCCTTAAGTCAAGTGCACGCGACAAGCTTCAGCCAGACGAAAGCTGCACAACGAACGTCTGCGTCACTTAACGCGGGGCTGGCACGGACTTGACTTGTGCTGAGCCTCCTGCAGATATGTCACGGAGGAGGAAGAGCAACCCAAGCCGCTTGGAGTCCGTCTGTAGCTTCGGGTAAACACATCAGAAACAAAATGAGGCCTGTAGCCTCTGTTTCCCGTCTCCCATACGGATGCTCTCGCTCCTTCCTTTACATCCGCGTATGACTGAGGGTGGCCCTTAGCCCGGAACAATCGGACATCGAACTTGATTGTTGGAAAATCAACAACCAACGTTTGCACAGCTCTCAACCAACGGTGCATCCTTACGGTTTACGAGTAAGGAAGCATTGCTATAGGCACTGGTGCTTTAAAGTTAGTAAGGTGGATGGAAACACAGCGCGTATGTAAGTACGGCAAGTCCCCACGTACACACACGCAGGTAAATGAGCAGCGGTGCTATGAGATCCCCTCAGGGATGCCAGTGAGATCCACTTGCCTCTGCTTAAACACATAACACATCAGGCTAGAAGCCAGGTCCACCAGTTTTCATACGGCCGAGCTGCAGTCGTGACCGAGAATATGGCTTATATTGTGGGCAGGCCGGTTCGAGGACTGCTTGGAAGAATCGGAAGCGGATGTGTTTGCAATGGAGAGCAAAGGCGACATTGCTGAACCATCTGGAGGAAGAGCTGTGGCTATTTCTGGAAACAAAGACGTCAAGTTAAAATTGGATAAGTGCGACGTGTTGGTCATGTGCATCGGTGGCATATCCGGAAGCAAAGGAAAACTGGGCTGAGCAAAACCCACGGGCCTGGGAGGAGACAAAATGGATCCAAATCGGTTGTTCAAACTTCCGCTACTTGGCTTCTCCGTGCTCGGGTTAGGAAACATTTGATTGGGAAAGTAAGGGATAGAAATGTCATTGGAAAGGGTAGGGTGGGCAGGAGAGTACGGCGGGTAGAAGGACGGCAGCGTATTCTGAGGATCGACCGGGATTAGAGCTGGCGTTCGAGTGGCGCTGGGCTGAGTGACCGGTGGGATGAAAGAGGCGTTGGCGTTTATCGGGGGATTCATGCCACCCTCCGGAATAAACGGGAATCCGAAATTCTGAGAGAGAGTATGTTGGTCGGGGGCCGCGTTATCGTTAGACACCTGAGGGCCATCAGACATAAATCGGACAATGCTTCCTCTTTTTTCTATCGCAGACTGCTGGCGCCCAAGGATCATACTGCCGCTGGTGGAGAGAGGAAGATGGGGAAGACTAGGGTCGAAGACGTTTCCGTGTCTTTGATTTCCAGATCGATTCCTTTCAGGCTGACGTATTTTGGAACCTCCATTATCTTGCAGAGGATGCCTCGACCGCTGAGTAACTGAGGAATTTGGCTGACGAACAGAAGGCTGCCCTTGCTCGCCGTTTCCGTGAGAAACTGCAGGGTGAGGATGAGTTGGCCTCACAACTCCATGCATGTTGCTAGAAACAGGCGTATTCATGTGGCTCTTAGTTCCATGACTGTCCGTCATCCTCATGGGATTGGACTTCTGCACAGAGATGTTTGGGCTTGTATTGCGACCCTGAATATCTCCCGAGGAAGAAGAACTTGAAAAAGGAATATTCAAAGAACTGTTCCTTGTGTTAATTGCACCAATAGACATGTCACAGCTCTCCCTACCCGGGCCGTCACCGTCCCTGCGGATGTGGACGCTCTCTCGTGCCGGGGGACAGCTGTACTCAATGGTGGAGGAGGCGCCGCACTGTGTGTTCCTTTGATGGTCTGGGATTGATCTTTGGCTTCCGCTAACTTGATCTCCAAGGTGAGGGGCAAGTAAACTCTGCATAAAGCTTTGGTGGCACGTGTTTTCGTTCTCCCTTGACGGCAGGGTGTTTCCCGTTGGAATGCCCTGTACTGGCTGGTAGGGCAATCTCTTCTGTCTCTCTATGGGTGCCCCGGTATTTTGACCGATCCGAAACGCTTGCGACTGCATACCCCTGAGGGATGACACCGAATTACCGATTTCGCCGCTCCTTGAGGCCTGTCCATCGAAATTGCCCGTCGGTTGTTGACTGGGTCCAGCTGGCTTAAACGTCTGACAGTCGGAAAGCCGCTGCACATCCGAGCCAACCGCATGGTCGACAGATAAGCGGCCCTGCATATTGTGGATGACCAACCCTTTATTTCGAGAAACATCGAGATAACTTCTCATTTCAAGCTGGTCAGAGACCCTAGGGCCTTGAAGAGACACACCTATTCTCTGTTCCGAATTCGAGGGCGTCTTCCCAATGAGTGCTTCAGCAGAGTAGCTGGACACTCTGTTCCTCTCCTGCCGATGAGGGGTGCACGTCATGTCTGACGGTCTGGTTACGATGCTTGCCTGGGACACCATTTGCTGCTCTAAGCCCCTTGAGGTCAGAAGTCTCTGCATCTGACTGTGCCCCGACACGTGTTCGGAAGCCGAACCTTGCTGCCTGCCGCTAACGTCTTGTTGCTGCTGATGCATAATGTCCTGATTTATGTGGCTCTGAGGGTGGTTATGATGGTTTCTGCTTGTTGCGGGATTTTCACAGTTCTTTTCAGGCTGGGAAGCTCCAAAGTGCTGCTGCATCTGCTGCTGCATTTGCTGGTGGTGAGGATGAGGCTGACCGCCTTTTTGCCGTGTTTGATCGCTTCCGTGGTGTTTTTGCTGCAGAGAAAGTTGCGTGGCTTGTGTTCCCTGGATGAGATTTCGTTTCTTTTGCATCTGCACTTCCTGCTGCATTGTTCGCTGCTGGTGGACGCCGTGGGGTTGAGAGTGGACCGAGTTTTCCCCGTGAGCGACGTGGTGCTGCAGCTGATACAAATGGTGCCTCTCTCTTAGCTGGCCGGCCTGCTGCTGCTTTAAGTACGGATGGTTGCCGTGAAGGTGGGATATGCCTTGAGCAGGAACGTGTTGAATTGGCTGCAAGTGCTGCCCTGCCTGGCCTTGCTGCTCCGAAATGGGTGGCTGAGAGCTGCACTGATCCTCAGCTTGTCTCAGAGCCGGTGTCACAAAGTTGCTGTTGGATGGGAATAACCTATTAAGGCCATCGGCGTGCCCTTGGCCGCTCACTGGCGCCACTGAATTGGATGAATTGGGAGGAATCTGGCCGACTAGCATCTGCGTTTGATCAGCCATGCTCTCCGGTGTCCGGTTCATCAAGGCCATCCCTTCCAGCCTTACGGGCGTCGTCTGGCACTGCTTTTGCCTCTTGGCTGTAGAAAGCAGGAGGTCATCCTGGACGGCCCGCTTGGCAGAGTCCTTGCGACCCTCGTGGCTTTGCTGCTTTAAGTGCGATTCCGGCAGCTGGGGCGGCTGCATGGCGCTGCCCCGCAGGGCGCTCAGCTGCTCCTGCGCGTACTCGCTCATCAGCGCGGGTCCCGGCGACTGGCTGACGTAGGTGCTGGACGGAAGGGAGAGGCTGGCAGTTGCAAGGACGCTGGCTGGCTCTGAAGACTGGGGCAAACTCGAGCAGCTCACAAGGGGATGGACGATGCGACTCTGGTGTATCAGATTGTTTACGCTTAAACTGGTTATGCTCGGGGACTGGGAGGCGGAGATCTGCAAAGACGCGTCTGGCGTTTCCACGGCTCCTGCAGAGCAGCTTGGCTTCTCAACCTGTCTGTCGACGCTTGCCTCTGCTGTGTCTTGGGCACTGAATTTGTTGGGCGCTGCCTCCAACGGCGCTGCATCGCTTTCTTTCACTGGCTGAGGTTTAAAAGGCTGTTGCTCTCGCTCCAAAGGTCCGACTTCAGTTGACTTGGAGATGGCATCCCTCATGTTAACCTGTATTCCTCCTCCACCTTTCTCAAGGTTTTCCTGGTCAAAAATAGCTCTTGCTGCGAGAGCTACAATGTCGGTCTGTTCTGAAAACGTGCAGCTGTTACAGGTACTGGTTGAGGTGCTGCTCGTCACTTCTTCTCTGGTGGTATCTGGCAACATAGATGCAACCGAGAAGCCTCGACTGCTGCCAGAGCTGGTTGACATTGGGGAGTCCGCTTGCCTGCTGGTGATAAGGGAAGTGCTGCCGACCTCCTGGTCAGAAATGCAGGGGTGATGCTGGGAGAGAGAATCGCCTTCTGTGCTCATCAGCAGGAGCTCCTGCTTCTCAGGCAAATCAACGTTCGGTTCTGCCGATTTAGAGTTTTCCAGGGGAAAATTAGACTGCTCCCCCTGAACGGTAAAGGAAGAGGTTTTTTCCACAGCTGCTCTTTCTTTTGTGAGATCAGACAGCATTTTGGTTAGGCCCTGTCCTTCTAACAAGTCCGCATCTTGCATTCCCGCTGAGGAATCCTGTGCCGCATGGCAGGACTCTGGAATCGTTCCTGCCTTGGAAGCATGACTCGCTGTGCTGCTCCGTGCCGCTGACGTCCCGGCAACCTGAGAAGGTGTCACATGTGCTTCGGAACGAGAGGATGTTAAGGTGCCGGGGGGTTCACAGGGTTTGGGAGACTCCGACAAGGCAGAGCTGGTTGGTGGACGGTTCTGCGACCCACGGGCCTGCCGGCAAGGAGCAGTGTCTTTGGCAGTCGGCGGGACGAGCGCCGGCTGCTCCGACACCACGGATGCCAGCGGCGAGGACGCGGGCGCCTCTGCCGAGCTTGGTTCGGGGACAGAGCAGGGTCTGGGCGCCTGTTCAGGGCTCGTGGCCTCTTTGGAACCGCAGCCAGCAATGCTGGCACCACTCGATGCTGCCGCACCGCCCGCCTGCGGCGTCGGCAACACGGGCGTCACTGCGGCAGCGTTCCCGGGCAGCCCCTCGCCGCTCGAAGGCTTTGCCCCCGCTTCCACAGGGGCACAGTCCGCCTTCCCTGCGTCTTTGCAAGGAACTGCGGGGCAGGACGCTTTACTGTTGACTGCGTGGGGTTTCTTCGTAGCGGGCTTTTTGTTTGTCCTTTTTGATTTGGCATTGGATGGCAAACCAGCAGCCGCTTTTTTGGGGGAAGCGTTGATGGAATTAGAAGCACTCGTCAATACTGGAACCTCCGCAGGTACTGAAGATGCCACAGAAGTTGGTAACGACACACAGTTAACGGTGGCAATCTGGTTATTGACCGTTGTGGGATGGGTAGGGTGGCTGAGAGACAAGTGTAAGCAGCTCTGCCCGGCCATTTGCGAGATGCTTTGATTGAGGTTAGCTAAAGCGCCGAACGTGTTGAGGGCAACGTTGGTATTTGGATCTTCGCTGGTGGTGGGTTGAATAATTTGCATAGGGGCTTGATTTGAAGCTCCGGATGAAGACATCACAGGCTGCAACGCAAAAAGCTGCCCGTTCAGTGAGATAGTTTGAGGATGCTGTTGACTGGACACGGTAACTGAAAACGTTTGCGTAGAGCTAGAAGATGGCAAAGAAGATGGTCTTGGTAATATATGGACCAGGTGTTTCCCTCCGAAAGTCTGTGGAAGAGAGGCGTTTTGCACGGAGCTGCTCGAGTTCGCGACTGCAGTCGGCCCGTTCACGGGAACTCTTACGGAAGCAGAAGGCTGAGCAGAGAGGAGGGGAAGAGGGTTCTGATTAGCTGCTTGTATAATTACAATTTGCTGACTCACGTTTTGGCTGGGAACTTCTGCTCTCACAATCGGCGGGCACGGAGCGGGGTTTGGAGGCTGGAGAATGATGACGTTCTGGTTAGCCGGTGCTCCCGCAACCGCTGACGCGACTGGCTGGGCCATCTGAATCACCTGCATAGCTGAATTTAATGGAAGGATACTTCCTGCAGCCGGAGTTTTCACCTGTGGCTGGCTGATGAACGGCTGCAGAGGCAAGGGCGGGCACGAGGGTAAGGTGACTACGATCTGCTCAGCTGCCTGGCCATCTCCAGGCAGACAAGTATTCACACTGACAGCTGCAGCCAAAGGCCTGCTGTGAGCAGCAGATACAGCACCAGCACCGTTAACCGGCTCGTTTAAGAGTGCAGTCATGATACCGGACGGCGTTTGGCTTAGCGGCTGAACGGTGTTTCCCGCCAGCTGCAGAGTTGTCCATGTGGTCTGCGTGTTTCCAGCCGAAGGCATCCGTGTAAGGCTGCTCATGTTTTTCAAGTCTGACGTGCCGACAGCCGAAGAGCCCGAGAACGACCAGCAGTTCTCCAGGGGGCTGGCAGGGGGCGGGCTTACCG